TAAGAACTGCTGCTCTGATTTTCCAAATTTGATAAGAATTTGGGGAAAAAATCGACTTATTTGCTTTTCTCTGAAATACATGATTTTACCTTGATGAATCTGTAAGTATGATAGACTCATCTTAACAATGGTAAGAGGGAGAAAGGTGCAATTGAAAGAAGACAAGCTTCTTAGACAACTGGGATACTATGAGTCAGGATAGGCCCAGTGACAGAGGGTCTGGTGTCCTGGTTTTATTACCACTAACCAGGTGCTGATTAAGGGTAAGTCTCTTAACTGCACATAACCTTGCTGCTCCTTCATTTCTCCATCTCTAGAACAGAACTGTGGCAGTTCCATCTGATGTCAGCTTGAAGCTGGGGGAAGTGGAGGGGTGGAGTTCTCAAGGGGAGATATATCACAATGTCTGTACAAGTCTCCTCTCCTCTTTCCCTTGAAGACACTAAAGCTTTCCCGCCCACCCAATGAAGAAGGATCACACGCACAGGGGCTGTAAGGGGATGGGAGGAGCTTACACTTGTGAGTGCGATGATGCCGGCTGCGGTGGCAGGAGTCGTCTCAGAAACCACCCAAGTGAATTATCCTTAAAGGGCCCTTCTAGATATAAAATTATGTCAAGGAGTGAATCATTCATTAATGCATGCATGACAATACACCTGTGTTCCTTTCATCGGTACAGCAGATGTTCTATGTGTGAAGCAGGGTAAAGGGAGTGGGTGAGCCTGGGTCTGATGGCCCCTCGAGGTCAGCAGTAGCTCCAGGATTGCTTGTTAATTATGCAGCAACATTCCTTAAGCAGTGACATGGAAATCTACACCAGTGGCCTCAGTCATATCATCATAAAGAGCTATCACTATATTTCACCCTTGAGAAAACGCCCCAGACACACAATTCCTACTTTGACGAATTTTCTAACGTAGAAGCAGTAGCAGTACGAGTGAGCCCTGCACATTGACATTCTTCTCAGGAGGGTTGGTGTCCTCGTCAGCCACCATCAACAAGAGCGGAAGAAGGCTTTAGTCATTCATTCATTTATGTATTTAGACCAAGAGTCTTGAAGAAAACACCTGCTTCTTTTGGACCCACCAAATGCTCTCTTAGTTATTTCTTGAACAGGCGCTATTTGCTTACCTGATAGCCAAAGAGGAAGAGTCCAAAGAAAAGGCTGTAGAGGTCGGCTGTCAAGATGCCCAGGTTGACAGACGTGGCACTGGTGGCTCTTATTACCCACGGCATAAAGCTGTACAGGCAAAACATACAGAGGGCAAACGCCACAAACAGCATGGCTGTGGAGGGGGGGGGGAAATCTAACATTAGAGGGAGAAAATGAAAGGCAAAAAGGTTTGAGGTTTTGATTTGTAAAATGATTTTTTATAGTATTATCTACATAGCTCCTGGATAAGAGCTAGCAAAGGGAAGATACAAAGCTCTCTGGAGGGGGAAAAAACAAAAACCAGTAGCAAGTTATGACTTAGAACTGGGTGGGGGGTGGGGAATAGCAGTTGAGTCGAGTCAATTGTGACTCGTGGTTACCATGAGCCGGGACAAAACTGTGTTCTGGTTTGATTTTTCAAAAGTAGATCCCTAGAGTACGGTGACCAGATTTAAAGCAGGACACCATTGACTGGGGGGGTTGGGGGTGTCGGGGGGTGGGGGTGGGGGGGTTGTTCTTGATTAAAAATCTAGTCTATATGGACCAAATAGACCGTTCCCTAGCTTATTGTGCATTCTTTCCAAAAATTGGGACTTTTTACAGACGCCAAAAATAGGGACTGTCCCACCAAAAGTGGGACATCTGGTCACTGATCCCTAGAGGTTTGTCTTCTGAGGTTGCTCTGGGTGACCTTGAACCACCAACCTTGCAGTCAGCAAGCACATTAACTGTTTGCACCACCAAGGGACCTTAACGGAGGTGAGGGACCACCCCCCCCAAATCCAGCAGGGGTTGTATAGTCAAGGACATAAAATCCTCTTGTGCTGTGATTGAGTCAATGGCTCTTATCACCCATGCAGTCCACCCTCCCAAGCAGAGTGACACCTGTGACAGAAGGGCAATTAAGGCTGGCTGCCTGGTGTGAAAAGAAGATCTCATTTTAACAGTTAAACCATTGAGTTGTATGGCACATGAGTTATCTATCAATAAAACTGCTAAATAAAAAGCTTTTTTAATTTAAAAAAAGCATTAAATGTCTCCTTTTTCATTACTGTTTGTACATTATTTGCGGAAGTGGATTCAGAATGAAGTCTTTTGAGGGTATCAAAGGCAAAGTTGAGCTCATTTCCTTTTTTCACCTTTATTAAATTAAATGCTCCCAAAGCACACGATATAAGTATCCTTGATAGGGCAATACTACACATTTGGATGCTGAAATAAATAATGGTTGAATTTCTGCTTTGAAAGCACTTCTCAAGCTAATGCCCGTACCCAACACACAACACAGCACAGACACACACACACACACACACACACAATCTTTCTGTCGAGTTGAATTACCGTATCTAACTCAATGAAGCTATCCAAAGACAGCTATGAGCTGTACACCACCTTTCCATCCATCATTCCATAAAGTCGAAATCTTCACTAACTGCACATGGAACTGTGCCCCTGCTTCATTTACTCGTTGGGCAGCTGCGGTGGCATGGTGGTTAGACGGTGGATTGCTAACCACAAGGTCAGTACTTCGAAGCAACCAGCAGGAGAAAGACGAGGTTTTCTACCCCCTCGAAGAGTTCCAGAGGCATAACCCCACGGGGCAGTTCTACCGGGACCCACTGGGGCTGGGAGTCAGAAGAGACTCGATAGGCAGTGAGTCACTTAACTACAATTAAGTTGTAATGTATTTGTGCAGATGCTGAGGAAGCCCAGTTGAGAGGAGAGATGGGAGGTTGTCGGTGACAACACACCATCAGGTCACCCATGTTAATGCTTCACCAGTTACACCAAGGGGAGAGCTTTAGGGATAACCTCCCTCAAGAGCCTGAGGACACGAGACACAGCTCTAACTGCAAGCTGAAGTGACCACAGGTCACTCGTGCGCAGAATCCCTAGGTAAGAGAGGATGTTCCTGCAGATGAAGACTGAGAATGAACTTCTCTGAAGACTTATCTACAGCATCTCACAGATGACGTCATTAAAACCAGGATGGCGCTGTGTGTATACCCTGTGATTTTACAAAGATGCCTAAATAACAAAATGTAGCTTTCTTTCCTTTCTTTATAAAATACCACTTTATTGTGTTTTAGGTGAAAGTTTGCACAGCAAATCAGGTTTCCCTACAATCAGAGTTTTATTTCTTTTTTTTAAATCATTTTATTACGGGCTCATATGACTCTTATCACAATCCATACATACATCAATTGTGTAAAGCACATTTGTATATTCATTGCCCTCACCATTCTCAAAACATTTGCTCTCCAATTAAGGTCCTGGCATCAGCTCCTCATTTTTTTCCCCTCCCTCCCCGCTCCCCACTCCCCCATGAGCCCTTGATAATTTATAAATTGTTTATTTTGTCATATCTTGCCCTGTCCGACGTCTCCCTTCACCCACTTTTCTATTGTCCGTCCCCCAGGGAGGAAGTCACATATAGATCCTTGTCATCGGTTTCCTCTTCTCAACCCATTCTCCCTCTACCCTCCCAGTATTGCCACTCATACCACTGGTCCTGAAGGTATCATCCACCCTGGATTCCCTGTGTTTCCAGTTCCTATCTGTACCAGTGTACATCCTCTGGTCTTGCAAGGTAGAATTCGGATCATGATAGTGGGGGGGAAGGGGGAAGCATTTAGGAACTAGAGGAAAGTTGTATTTTTCATCGTTGCTGCATAGCACCCTGACTGGCTAGGCTCCTCCCCGAGACCCCTCTGCAAGGGGATCTCCAGTGGCCTACTAATGGGCTTTGGGTCTCTACTCCACACTCCCCCCATCATTCACTATGGTAAGATTTTTTGTTCTGATGATGCCTTATACCTGATCCCTTCAACAGACACCTCGTGATCGCACAGGCTGGTGTGCTTCTTCCATGTGGGCTTTGTTGCTTCTGAGCTAGATGGCCGCTTGTTTACCTTCACGCCTTTAAGACCCCAGATGCTATACCTTTTGATAGCCGGGCACCATCAAGAGTTTTATTTCTTGATGTGTTTTTCGCCCCTAAGGGAAAGGAAGCTGACTAGGAAAAATCAACATTGATTTACATACCGATTTTCCAGTCCCACTGAATGCTGGCAATATCCTTATATTCCACAATCATCCTAGGATTAAAACAAGAGGTCAAAGAAAGATCCACATTAAAATAAGCTCACTCTCTTATTCATGCACTCCTTTATGGGAGTTAACCATAGCAAGACAATGTAACATACAGCTTTCTTTGAATACATTTATGGATTTAATATGTTAATATTTTTGGAAATAACTGAAAGAGGAAACTCTTTATGGGTAATCTTATCTACATCTTCAGCATGAATCCTAGAGGTTACTCATGTATAAAAAAATGAGGCCTAATTCATGACACTTCCAAAATCATCTAAGACTGGGGTTGGCAAACTTTTGAGCTGGAAGAGCCAATCCTGTCCCTCACAACCATTCAGCAAGTATTCCAGAGCCACAAATATATATTTACAAACAAATGGATCACCATTATCTGAAAAATATCCTTTATATAATTTTTCAATTTTACTTCAGAGCCACCGGTACTTACCGGAAGAGCTGAACTTTGCCGACCCCTCCCTGATAAGAGATCCTTACTAATAGATGCTTAGCAAGTTATGGATATCAAATGTGAACTGGAATCATCTACGCAAATTTTAGTAGCTGAAAAGAAGGAGTCATCTCGTCTATGTTTGCTCATTTTGTTTTGAAAGACAATGTTAGAATCTTACAGCTGTAGGCCACTGATGATTGTTCCAAATAAGCCCACCATTCCCAAAAACTCCTCTCTGCTCAGCTTCTTCACGATGTATTCTTCACACACGTTGGAAATGGCGTAGAGCGAAGCCCCGCCAAGAACTAAGATGTCACCGATCAGCACATTGCTACCTGCAGGAAGAAAACACACCAAGAAGACAAGCCACTGTTCCTGGTGAAGTTCTCTGGCTGGCCGCAGGAAGTTTATCTGGCTCGTGGCCACTTCAATAAGCCAGCATGGGAAATGGAATCCTGGTTTCTAGAAGGTTGACATCTCTTAGTCTTCTCATTTCCTGGCACAATTCCCCTGTGGGTTTTCACTTTCTGATCTCCGGAGACCAACAGGCTGGGAGATGGTAATAAAATGAGTATAAAACAAAACAAACTCACTGGCATCGAGTCAACACTGATTCGTAGCTACCCTACAGGACAGGGTAGAACTGCCCCTTTGAAAGTCCGAGACTGTAACTCTTTATGGGAGTAGGAAAGGCTGTCTTTCTCCAGATACCAAACACGAGACCTCACCAAATGGTTCTGTGACATGACAATTACTGGCAGGAGGATTCGGACAGTTTGGAAAATGACAGGGAAGCTGTCTGCAAGATAATGTTCTTTCCATCAGCCAGCGTAAGATGTGAAAAATAATAACAATTTATAAATTATC